AGTGATCTGTAAATTTTGGGCCCTCCCTTTTTTTTTTTTTTAATCTCCTCCTCGGTTTATGATTAGATTGTATTTGTATTGATATTAAACATGCGTTCCATTTTTAGCTAATTTTTTATATTTATGATTAAAGAAATTTTAGATTTATATTATTAGTATTGTTGAAAATGTAAGGCGGCTGTGAGATTGACCTAATTAGAGTATATACTGGGTTTTTAATATAATTTTTTTATAAATTTGTAATGTACAGTGGGGATCGAAAGTTTGGGCACCCCAGCTAAAAATTTGTATTAATGTGCATAAAGAAGCCAAGGAAAGATGGAAAAATCTACAAAAGGCATCAAATACAGATTAGACATTCTTATAATATGTCAACAAAAGTTAGATTTTATTTCCATCATTTACACTTTCAAAATAACAGAAAACAAAAAAATGGCGTCTGCAAAAGTTTGGGCACCCTGCAGAGTTAATATCTTGTACTGCCCCCTTTGGCAAGTATCACAGCTTGTAAACGCTTTTTGTAGCCAGCCAAGAGTCTTTCAATTCTTGTTTGAGGTATCTATGCCCATTCTTCCTTACAAAAGTCTTCCAGTTCTTTGAGATTTCTGGGCTGTCTGTCACGCACTGCTCTTTTAAGGTCTATCCATAGATTTTCAATTATGTTGAGGTCAGGAGATTGTGAAGGCCATGGCAAAACCTTCAGTTTATGCCTCTTGATGTAATCCCCCGTGGATTTCGAGGTGTGTTTAGGATCATTATCCATTTGTAGAAGCCATCCTCTCTTTAACTTCAGCTTTTTCACAGATGGCATCAAGTTACCATCCAAAATTTGCTGAAATTTTATTGAAGCCATTTTTCCTTCTACTCGTGAGATGTTCCCTGTGTCACTGGCTGCAACACAACCCCAAAGCATGATAGTTACAACCCCATGCCTAACAGTTGGACAGAGGTTCTTTTCATTAAATTCTGTGCCCCTTCTTCTCCAAACGTACCTTTGCTCATTCCGGCCAAAAAGTTCAATTTTAACCTCATCGGTCCACAGAACTTGTTTCCAAAATGCATCAGGCTTGTCTATATGTTCATTTGCAAAGTTCAAACGATGATTTTTGTGGTGAGGACGTAGAAGAGGTTTTCTTCTGATGACTCTTCCATGAAGACCATATTTGTACAAGTATCTCTTTATAGTGGAATAGTGTACCACAACTCCAGTGTCTGCCAGATCTTTCTGGAGGGATCGTGCAGTCAAACGTGGGTTTTGAATTGTTTTCCTCACAATCCTGCGAGCTGTTCTGTCTGATATTTTTCTTGGTCTTCCAGATCTTGCTTTAACTATCGCTGTTCCTGATGACTGCCATTTCTTAATTACATTCCGAACAGAGGATATTGACATCTGAAAACGCTTTGCTATCTTCTTATAGCCTTCTCCAGCTTTGTGAGCGTCAACTATTTTCAGTTTCAGTTTTCTAGACGACTGCTTAGAAGAACGGATGGTGCTGATTGTTGGGGCAAGGTCAGATGAGTCTGGGCATTTAAAACCTTTGAGATTGACATCACCTGGTCTTCCCAGACGATGATTGAGAACAATCCATGACACTGGCAGGTCTCAGCTTGGAAAGGGGGCAGTGCATGCTATAAATTCTGCAGGGTGCCCAAACTTTTGCAGACGCCATTTTTTTGTTTTCTGTTATTTTGAAAGTGTAAATGATGGAAATAAAATCTAACTTTTGTTGACATATTATAAGAATGTCTAATCTGTAATTTGATGCCTTTTGGAGATTTTTCCATCTTTCCTTGGCTTCTTTATGCACATTAATACAAATTTTTAGCTGGGGTGCCCAAACTTTCGATCCCCACTGTATTTTTGAGATTTTTTTCTGTGTCCCCAGTGTCTGTTGGAGCTCTTTGTTGAAGTCACTGTTAAGCCTTCCGTCTTTCCTTTGGCTTTCATGTTTCAGCTCGGCTTTTGTGTATTCTAGTTGCCATGGAGGTGGCGGGCGTCACTCTTTTAAATGCAGGTAGATGTGTTGGCTTCTCTTCTGCTGAGGAAGTCCCACTCTAGGATGGAACGCATACAGGGGGTGGAGCCACATCCGTGGTGTCATATGCATCTCGAATCATGTGTACTGGCATGTTACGGAGTGCTCTTATCGGCACTGGTTTAGTGCCTATTCCTGTGTGTTACATTTATGAGCAGTATTTACCCCTTCACGCCGGCATCTCCCGGCCCTTTAAGGAGTTTCTGACGCCAGGAGGCCTGGTGGGGTTCAGGGTCATGTGACTGCCATGATTGGTTGTCACGGCGGTCACATGATTGGAAAAGGTCCCAATCGCAACAGATCGGGACCTTTCCGTGGGACACCGATACATCTGCTGGGGAGCGCGCAGGATGCAGTGCATAGCTTGGGACTTTTTGGCACTATATTTGGCACTTTATGTATTGTTTGGTTGCACTACTTGGGTTTATTTTAAGTTTTATCTTTACAGGATAAGGTCACCGGCTCAGACACTCGCCTCACAAAAGGTAATGGCAACAAGAAACACACCCTTGAAAGTGAAGATTAAAGAGTGAAATATCCTTCATCAGTTCAAAAAGGCAGTTTATGAAGAGCCAAAAGAACTAAATTGAATCCCATGGATTCAATGGGGGGCACACGGCAGTCACCCTTTACAAAGTATGGGAAGTCAGAGGTATCTGGAAGAAGATCAAAAGCACCTGACCCTTGGTGCTAGGGGCCAGATGCTGGTGCAGACCTATCTGCAAAAGCACCAAAATTTGTCCCAGAGAGATTTTTATGTCTTGCACCATGCAAAGTATGCTTTTCATGTGCAGAAAGTAGAATTCCTAACTTTCAGGATTGTGGGAATTACCTATTCCGAGATGTTTCTATCCCCCGGAATAGTCAAAAGCCACCAGCAATGGAGCAGGACCAGGACAGGGAAATTAGGTGAGTATAACAGACAGGTGGTGGAGGTGCACGTTAAGATTAAGAAAACACGGAGTAGTATTGGTAAAGAAGTATTCATATGATGATTTTAAAGAAGAAATATTGAGAAGGACTTCTTGAACAATTGGGACTTATTAAAATGTTACATTTTGAAGTTTATATATACACATTTTTCTGTTGAGAATTTGAGGTCACATTTGAATGGTTTAAATTGATGTTGTGTGGAAAGCGCAGCACTGTTATTGTGTTATTTGTGGTTTTGAGCACATTTATAGGCGTATGTGTAGGCGTGGGCAGCTTTTAAGTTTAAACACTAGAGCTGCTCATGGGATATCTTATTATTTATGAGACTAATAATATTGTTGTGCTATGTGTTAAAACATGAATCATGAGTAGAAGTGTCACCACTCTAGCTACTAACCCAATATCAGGTTAAAAAGGTTTGTATAACCCACCAGTAACACTACTATTTCAATAGTGCGTTAAACATAACCTCAAAAAATACATAAAAAACAGTGAGTTTCACCACCACTGCTGACATAAATCTAATAATGTCCAAAGCAGAAAAAAAATGTTGAATTTAGGAGCGTTTGAACATCATTCCACAGATGCAAACTGTTTCCTCCACTTGCGATGGAGTAGCAATGCCTTCAGTGAATTTCACCACCACATGCAGCCTCTTACCAGTTGAGTAGACCAAGTTATAGGTGGTCTAAAATAGCATGTTTGAATCAGGGATCATCTATAAATATATCAGAGATCATCAATGATCACAGCAGCAGGATATTACAAAGGCATTTTGAGAACCACAGGGCACATCAGCAGGGATTCACTACCAGCACTTCACTTCCATCATGCATGTTATCCCATAAAAGAAAAACAGGCATCCCATAGTGCAACCTGAAGCTTTTATTTAATATACATACACTGCAAATCTACTCATATATAGATGTAAAGCAATCACATGTAATACAATCAGCGCCGCCATCACCTCCAGTGGGCTTGATAATGTCAGCACAGACTCCGCCCCAACGCGCTACCTCCAAAAGGATGTTTTTAACCCCTTGGAAATGTCCTTTTGGAAGAAAAGCGTCAGGGCTTATAAGTGGTGACACTTAAAAGCACGATTCACTTTTAAGACACAGCTCAACATTTTATTTGCCTTTTGCATATCTTATGCACTAGTACTGAGTGATTTTTTTAGTGCAGCTGTGGAAGATTTTCATTTGTGTTTGATTTATTGGTTTAGAAGCACCAAGCTCAGTTTTTTGTCTTCTTTTTCAATAAAGGTGAGAGTCCCTGTGTCTCTGGCCAGGGCACCTCTATAGGGCTCTACTGTGCAGGAAGGAGACAGGGGACAGCATGGGATGTAAACAATCTCTGAAGCTCATGGGTGGAATTAATTTGCTGAGGGCACAGGGGCATAAAAATAATGGCAATTTGTCTGAAGAAGTACACGCATTTCTTCAGTAGCAAACTTTATCACACAAGTTTCCAATACTTTTCCCCTCCTGTCAGTCAAAATTTACAGTGATTAAAATAGGAATGAAAATGTGATTAAAGTATATGTAAACCATCACCAAAATCTCATACAAGCTTCCACAACAGCCTATATTTATAAAGTTACTGCTATACAATTATAAATATATAAATTTTATATATATATATATATATATATATATATATATATATATATATAAAAAAAATAAATAACTTAATTGTATATACTTTTTTTCTTTTTTAATTGTTGGATTAGACTTACTATATAGTGTATGATTGCTGCATACAATTCAGCTGCTAAAAATAATTAGGTATTGTAATAAGTCACAAGTACTTTATGAAGCAATTTTTCTCAGTTTGTGGCAAAATTTTAAAATGTCCTCAAAATCTTTGTGAATGAAAGAAGAATTGATGTTCTTTACCGATAGAGCAAACAATCCTTTAACTATATATGTATGTATGTGCAAAAAATGAAGAATGGGGGGAGGGGGTTGCAATACCCATAGTCATTTTAAACTTTTTTTTTGTACTTAGTCTGTAGTTTGTGTGTCTTACCTAGGCTCATAACGAATATCAAAAGTATCATTTAGAATCCCAGCACCAGCACGCAACCTTTCAATACCATTCCTAACAAAGAAAGGAATCATTAGACCGATCAGGTAAAAGGCAAGGTAAGGTTACACCATTCATCTATAATTTCAAAATTTCAGTATGATCTGTATTCATCAGTGTGCAACAACACAAACTACAATCATTATGAAACCAAGTACTGTGGTCTGAAAAAGAATTCAGGCTGCAATTTCCAAAAGGAACTTTTACGGCCAAAAAAAAACCCCCCAAAAACATTTTTATTGAACCCATTTACATGCATATACACAAAACACAATACATGCAAACATGCAGTTACACTTGTTTGGCTACAATGGCCATATACAATCCCCTTTCCCTCCTAGTCTTATACTTACCTGTCACCTAATTCATTGAGATTGCTGTGTAGCCTGCTGCACACTACACAGGTTTTTTTTTCAAATTCTTCACTGTCATATATAAATCTGTATGTGTATGCATACTGCAATCTCTATTTAAAAGGTTAAGTTCACTTTTTCCACAAAAACAATAAATGCACTTTTTTTGCAGGTAAAAAAATGTGCTTTTATTATTTTGGTCTGCAGAAGCCTGTAAAGCATTGCTTCAGCGATCAGTAGATCGCTGATGCCATGCAGGTCTCCTGCAAATCTGTCAGTATATCTGATTGCCCATACGGGATGTACGAGCAAGCAGATATGCTGACAGGAAGATTCAATGAACCACCACACAGCTCCACAGTGCTGTGGTAGTTCATTGAAAACTACAAGCTGACAGCCGCTAAGGCTGTCGGTACTTGCAGTGCGTAGTGCATTCATTTATGGAGCTCTGAATGAATGATGTGGCCGTTTGGGCGGAGCCCTGCACGGCCACACTGTTTTCAAATCTGACAGATCATATGGGGAATTTCTCCCTGTACTTCTAACAGAGGGAGGGTGGAGCAGCAGGCGGCAGCTGCAGCATTGGGAACATGTTACATGTTCCACCCTAAAAACGGGAACATGTAACATGTTCCCAAAGGTGAACTTATTCTATAATTCTTTGAAGAGTTGGTACTCTACTGGGACAAGTAAAGTATCAACTCTCACTAGGATTAAATGGAAATGTGTGGAAGGAGTTGTGTTGAAGGAGTTTGATCCAACAAAAAGTTCAAAGAGGCGGCTGTATAGATCCAAGTAGGCATACAGAAAAAATTTTTGGCAGAGAAGTGACAGGTAAATATAACAGAAAGGAGCTAGGAAAATCCATCATAGCCAAAGTAAGGGTGTAACAGTAAAAATATGCTAGACATTATTTTGGTATGAGATATTAAAATAACACAAGTTTGTTTAATCTTCAGTGGCTTTTTGTTATGCCTCCGATTCTACAATTGATATCAAACTTTTTCTCACCAAGCAATCATGATGCCATTGTCAGTGCAGAGTTGTGGCGGTGGACATAACAAGGACATTCCCATACAATCTGTTAAATTTTGCAGCATTTTACGAATATATCCATTACTGGCAACCCCACCAGATACAACCTAGAAGAAGATGAAACACATGTGATTCTCAAACTCATGTATTCCTCTTGGCAGTTAAAAAAAAATAAAATAAATTATATTATATTAGATTTGTTAATTTGCCCACACAAAAAAAAAATAATTTTTCCTAACAAATTCATTCAAGACCATGTTGCAAATATGAATACACCCCAATGAAAGTCTTAGGAGCAAAGCTAAATTTTAGAGAACAAAATCCTAATTAAACAAGAATTCAACTACAGGTGAGTCTAATTATTCATTAAACAGGTCCAGCAGACAGTTCATAAAAGGGTATTACTTAAAGAAATTCCCTTCCCATTTCATGCTATCCGCAATGGTACCACATGGAAGAGAAATGTCACAAGGCCTGAGAAAGAAAATACATTTCTTTACATGAGAAAGATGAAGGCTACAAGAAGATTAGCAAAGCTTTACTTAGACTTTACTTTGCCAATCACTTCAAAAACAAGATTGACACAATTCGCAAGGACATCGCCGCAACTCACACGCCCTCTCAACCCGTCCCCTCTCACACAGCTACCCCCCCTCATCCTCGACATAACCCACAGGGACTTCGACGCTGCTCAAACTCCCTCCAACCCCGTTCCCCCTCACTCAGCTACCCCCTCATCACCCCTCTCTCACAGCCCCACCACTGCTCTGACCTCCACTTCCACCCCACCCTACATTCCTCATACTGAAGCTCCCCCAACACTCCGCACCTTTGACCTTACTACCATCGAGGAAGTCTCCAAGATCCTCTCTGATGCCTGCCTCACCACCTGCCCCCGCGACCCTATCCCCTCACAACTCCTACGACCTTCCTCCCCCTCCATCCTACGTTCCCTCACCCACATCTTCAATCTCTCCTTCTCCTCCGGCACTTTCCCCTCCCTTCTGAAACATGCACACATCACCCCCATACTTAAAAAGCCCTCCCTGGACCCCAATGACCCGAACAACCTCAGACCCATCTCCCTGCTCCCATTTACATCTAAACTCCTCGAGCGCCTAGTCTACACCCGCCTAATCTCTCACCTCAACGACAACAACCTCCTAGATCCCCTACAGTCCGGCTTCCGTCCCCTACACTCCACCGAAACTGCCTTACTCAAACTCTTCAACGACCTGCTAACCGCCAAAGCTAATGGCCACTATTCAGTGCTCCTACTCCTTGACCTCTCTGCGGCCTTCGACACAGTCGACCACCCCCTCCTCCTCAAAAAACTACACTCCCTCAGCCTCAGAGATTCTGCTCTCTCCTGGCTCTCATCCTACTTGTCACAACGCTCTTTCAGCATTACCTATAATGCTACCACCTCCCCCTCACTCCCCCTCTCTGTTGGGGTCCCTCAAGGCTCTGTCCTCAGGCCCCTTCTCTTCTCCATCTACACCTCCTCCCTTGGCCAACTCATACACTCTCACGGCTTCAACTACCACCTCTATGCCGACAACACACAAATCTATCTCTCAACCCCTCACCTCACCCCTCAGTCTCTGCCCCCGAATCACACACCTACTGAGCGACACAGACTGGATGTCACTCCACTTCCTTAAACTGAACCTCTCCAAAACCGAGTTTCTTGTCTTCCCCCCCAGCCCGGACACCACCCCCCATTGACTTCTCCATCACATCCAACAACACCACCATCAAACCCGCCCCGCAGGCCAGAGTACTTGGTGTCATTCTGGACTCCAACCTATCCTTCCAGCCCCAAGTCCAATCTTTAACAAACTCGTGCAGACTCCACCTCTGCAACATCGCCAAAATATGCGTGTTCCTAACTCCAGAAACCACTAAACAGCTCATCCACTCCCTCATCATATCACGACTAGACTACTGCAACTCCCTCCTCACTGGCCTGCCTCGCCGCTGGCTATCCCCGCTTCAGTCGATCCTGAATATGGCTGCCAGACTCATTCACCTTTCCAACCGCTCCGTTTTCGCCACCCCCCTCTGCCAATCCCTCCACTGGCTTCCGATTGCACAACGGATCAAATTCAAAATCCTAACACTGACGTACAAAGCTGTCCACCACACTGCCCCAAACTACATCACTGACCTAATATCCAAGTGCCGCCCAGCACGCACACTCCGCTCCTCACAAGACCTCCTTCTCTCTAGTTCCCTGGTCTCTCCTCCCATGCCCGCCTCCAGGACTTCTCCAGGGTGTCACCCATCCTCTGGAACTCCCTGCCCCAACCCATCAGATTATCACCTACTCTCCTCTCCTTTAGGCGCACCCTGAAAACCCATCTCTTCAGGAAAGCCTACCCCACCCCCTGCTAACATGCCGACCTCCTCCACTCTTCCTACCACTCCAATCCCCACAGCTATCTCCTCCTGTGCCACCATCCCCCCCCCCTCCTAGATTGTAAGCTCGAAAGAGCAGGGCCCTCAATCCCCTCATGTTTTGCATTGTATTGGTATTGTTCTGTCACATGTTCTGTCCCCCTGTAATGTACAGCGCTGAGCGAACTATTGGCGCTTTATAAATACTGTATAATAATATAATAGACAGAATACTGTAGCAAAAGAGATAAACATTTAACAAAGATGGAACTGCAACCATCTTACAGAGACATCCAGGCCATACATGGCAGTTAACACCTCAACAGGAGCATCTTCTGATGAGAAGGGGTGAAGAAAATAGCCATGCACGTTCACTGCAGTTAGCTAAAGAAGTAGAAGACCAAAACTGGGGCAATTGCTTCCTGTGACACAATACGCCGTACACTGCAGAGGAATGGTATGCATGGGTGTCGTTCATGCACAAAAAAAGCCTGCCTAGAATTTGCCAGGGCCCATGCTGAAAAAGAAGAAGACTACTGGTACTCTGTAGTGATGAGACCAAGATAAATGTTTTTGGAACTAATGGCTTCAAAACTGTATGGCGTCACAAAGGTGAGGAGTAAAAAAGAAAAATGCATGGTGCCTACAGTGAAACAAGGTGGTGGAAGTGTCCTGTGGGGCTGCATAAGTGCTGCTGGTGTCGGGGAGCTGCATTTCATTGATGGTATCATGAATTCACAAATATATTGCTTTATATTGAAAGAGAAGATTCTACCATCACTCCGTGCCCTTGGTCGTTGTGTTTTGGATCACTGTCATGTTGTAAAAGTGCACACCATATTTAAGGCCACTGTTGGATTTCTGAAGAACAGGGGGAAAGCAATTCAGTGGCCAAGTATGTCTCCTGATTTGAACCCAAACACCTATGGGGAATTCTCAAGAGACAAGTTGAGCATCACTCTCCATCCAGCATCCAGGCTCTAAAAGAGGACATTCTTGAAGAATGGAAAATTATAAAATGTTGCAATATGTCGCCAACTTGTTAATTCCATGCCTAGAGGACTTGGTGCTGTCCTTACAAATCATGGCGGTCATACAAAATACTAGATGTAGTAGTTTTTGTTGTGGGATGTATTAATTTAGCACCATCCAATTTGTGTAAAACTGAAGATTTTGAAATCAAGTTATATCAACCTTACTTTCATGTAATGAGCTAACCAAATGTTCTATAAAACTCAGTTTTGTCAAAACATTGGAAATTGTTCCTTTGTTCATTGAGATATTAATTGAAATCTTAGCTTTGAAAAGGGGTGTACTCATTTACGCTGAGCACTATATATATAGCTAATAGAAATACCTTACAGTTATGGTGCTGTAAAGCGCCATCTCCTTTAGAGCTCTAATACACTCTCAAAGCTCAGATATTTTAAATGGTGTATGTAGAGAAGACTGTAAAGACTCATTCAGTATATTTCTAAAAATATATATGTCACTAAATTGTGAAAAAGCAAATCAAAAACTGCTAAAGTTGCAACACTGCTTTTTCTAGTGCAGAGACAAACCATTGAAGCTTTTTTTAGCAAATGAGAGAGCTTCTTTATGTTCTCTGAGGATGTTCCTTGTATAGACGAAATGTGTAAGGAGGGGCTAGCAGCCTATGAGGTCCTCACACCTGCTGGCGTACTGCAGTGTGATGTTTTTTTGCGCTTTTGTTACCATGAGATGCTTGTGAGTATATTTGCATGAAATAAATTGGTGTTGTTAGCAGCATTATTCTATGGTTGTTTGTATTTTCCATTGAATCTCAGTGCGGAGAACTGCCCTTTCAGGACAGCCAGTGGAGGACCTGGTGGGCGTGGAGAATGTTACCATACCCTGGTATGATTCACATTTTGTGCATCCTACGCTAGTGATCTCTTATAATCTAGAGATCTTGGTTATCCGGTAAGGGAATTGAAATATCTATGTCTGAGGTGGTTTGGGACTAAAAACACGTGGAACTGTGGTGTTTCATTTTAAACACAAGATTCTACACCAGCCCCCAAGTGGAGCCCTGAAATATTATTTTTGGAGTGGATTTTCATTTCTAGTATATTATTGTTTGATTTATACTGAATATGGTTTTAATTTTTCCACTATATGTGTGGTTTTATTTATTGATATTATTTGCATCACTTTACTGTTTGTTTTTTTATGGTTTTGCACACACACTCATTTTGTTTATTAAATGAGGAGCTTGTTCAAGCCTAGAACCTTGTTTTCCAAGGAAAGGTACTGTACATTTTTCACAGCCTTAGTCACCATTTACTTTTCAAAATGGAATGAAGCTGGTATAACAGTTCTGATGTAATTTTCACAGTAAATTCAATTTAAGTTTACTTCTGAGACAACCCTCATACTACAGATATTTTATTCGGTTCAACAGAAAAATTGGTTTTAAACGTCAAAGTTAAGAGAGTATTTTTTTTTTCTAATCATACTTACCTAGGTGGATGAAGCATCGATCCGATGCTGCATCTGTCCCCCCCCCCCCCCCAACTCTAAGGGTGAGGAACTGAGCAATCACTCCATTCTCCCTGCTGCTCTAAGCAGATAACAGTGACTGTCAGTTACCACTGTCTGCTCTGCCCTGCCAGCACTCACTGTAGTACTGTTCTGTAGAGGGGGCGGGTGCGGTTGGCTCAGGCTCTCAGTGGCTTGCTAAGAG